TATATGTTCGTAAGAACAATTAATTAAATTTCTTTTAAGTTAATTAACGTGTACAAAATTGTATCCCTTTTTTAAAAAAATAAAATAAAATAAATTGATCCATCCTTTTCATTATAAACAGTGCAGCGTATTATTGAAAATATTGCGCTACAAGCATTTGACCAATCTTTGATCAAACTTAGCGATCCACAAGTACAAAACTCTATAAGACCCACAGGTTCCATAAACTGTCGTTCGTATTTCTATTTCACTTTTTTTTTTGTAAAAGATCAATTTTGTAATAGAATTTTATATTAACAAAAGAATAATTTGTTTAAATATATCACTTGAAATATTATAAGAAATATTTTTTTAATATTTGTTTATTTAATTGAAGTAATTCTTTTCTTTTTAATTTTTTTTTATTACATGGGTGAACTGGATAGAGATCTATCTTCGATCTTTTATACGGGAATCCAAGTGATTTCTATTTTAAATGAAAGTTTTTAAAAGTCATATGAATTCTACAAAAGTCTATAAAAGTTTTAAAATGGGAACCTATAGAAATTCCACTAATTCCATAAAATTCTATAAAAGTTCATGAAATCCACAAAAGTCATCATTTTAAAAAGAAGTCTATAAAAGTCTTTAAAAGTTCCAATTAAATACACCTTAGTAAGATACTTCTTCTATGATTCTATTCGTTGGACTTCCATTGTAGGTAAAATAAGTAACAATTTATCGTACATAACTTATACCTAGGCATAAAAGAACATTTCAAGAAGGGCACATAAACAAATTCTACTTACAATAAAGCTAAATGTATACACTTGGTTCACATTAAGCCTCTGTTTGGGAGAAATTCATTTCTGAAAATGTATAAGAAATTGGACCGTTAGTGTACTATTGCCTGAAGTTACAGTACACTGCTCACTGTACAAGTAGTGAGAAATCAGAGGCGAATTCCAATAATACCCTTCATCCAACCGTTATGCCATTACTGTCGCAATCTCTGCAAGGGCAAAATCGTAAAGCGTAACCACACGGCAGTGAAATCATTCAAAGTTACTGTAGCCAATCAGGTTGATTTGACACAAAAAATGTATTATTTGTGGGAAAATGGTTACCAAACGGAGCCTAAGTTTCACATCTCCCTCACATTGGGGTGGGACCCGCGATTGTGGACAACAGCCTCATGTGAGGGGTATGTGAGATTTAATGTGAACTAAGTGTGTACAACTAGTATGATTCTTCTACTTAAGCATAAAAGACATGTAAAAAACTAAAAATCCAGACAAATCTTTCAGGATTCTCAAACATGTTCTACTGAAGATGTTACCTATATATTTTGCTACAATGTAGAGGTGTTTTTTTGAGAGAGAAAAGCAAGTTACTTATGTTCCCTGATTAGTATATGGATCTCATAATTTAGGAAACCTACCAAGTCGGTTACATTTAATGATTTATGGGGCTCAACCCATAAATCAAATTAATATTCTTAATAGAGGAAATTACACCCTCCCTTGGTTTTAGATTTCTATTTTCATAAATCTCATCACAAGTTTAACTTTTCAAAAATCATGTTTTTTTATATTCAGTTTAATATTAATTATATAATTTTCATCCCAATTAAAATAACCTAAATCAACCCTAAAATTCATTCCTTCACTCTCCCATTCTCTCACATCCGCTCTCCTCCCCCGACGAGAGCTCCTTGCTCCCAACTGCCCATCTTCTCCCCGGCCAGAGCTCCCTGCTCCCAGATCTCACATCTCTCCCATTCTCTCACAGATCTGTGGTTTTTTCAGCAGAGCGGTGTGACTGCGTACATGAGCCCACGGATCCAGTTGTTGTTTCAGCAGCGTGGTGGGACTGCGTTGGGCGGTGCTGCCGTGTTGCTTTTTTTTACTGGTGAAGCGGTGTTGATGTATTTGTAGTTGCGGTGTGAAGGTTTGGTGTGCGTGCGTGCGTCGTGCGGCGGTGGTGATTGGGTTTTTTTTGTGCTAGCGGCGATCGAAGTATACATGTGTCCCGATCTTGAAGCGGCGTCGGAAGCAGTTGGGTTCTCTGTCTTCTCTCCGGCGCTTGATGTCCAACGACGCAGATATGTTATTTTCATCTGGTTTTTTTTTTTTTTTTTTT